ATCTCATCTCATCTCATCTCATCTCATCTCATCTCATGGTAAGACAGGTTTATCTGTGTTGCACACATTTTAACAATAAACAAAATACCCTTTCACTAAATAAAACAGTTACATAGAGATTCAAAAGGGGAGATGAAGCAGAAAGTAAAAGTTCGAGTGCAGTTTAAAATGTTCAAAAGCAGCAGATTTGCTTCAATGACAGACAAACTGAAAACTTTGATTTAGAAGAACAGAGAGTTGCAGCAGATGTGCAGTTTTCTTGGGGTTTGTTCCAGATATGTGCCACAAACTGTGCTTTTTAAGCTTCTTACTCAATCTAATTAGGTGATGAGTTGGTATAAATTACTACTACTCTGGTTGTTTGCTGCCTGTCTGCATGTTTGTGTGTTTTAAAAAAAACAAAAAACAAAACATCTCTATGTATCACAGTTACAAATTAGATGTTTTTTCCATGAACATAATCATTTCCTGCATTTAAATGGCTCAGATGTAACTCTACTCTTCCACCTGCTGCAGCTCGAGCACACCAGCTCACTACAACTCTGTGAAACTTCTCCGCTGCACAAGGAAAGTTGTAATATTGGAGTAATTCAGCCGTAAATGTTTAAACTTAAAAACTGATTCGTACTGAATTTGTGTCTTTTAATCACGACTGTCATGATGGAAATGTTCATCCATGACGTCTCATTTCACTCATGTTCTGTCGTAAGCAAGTAAAATATACCATGTGGAAGCGTCAACAAAGTAAAAAAACTTGATTTTCAAATACTGCGAGACTATAGACTGAGTAGCAGCATCACAGTTCGAACCTCAGAGGATTAAAACTTCGGACAAACTGTAAAACATTTCAGCTCAGCTCATCAGACTCGACTCACGTTTGGTGATCACTCTGTTGAGAACGTTCTTCAGTTCGCTGGCTGTGATTTCCATTTCCTGCGAGAGTCGAGTCAAGAGAGAAGAAGAAGATATTTAAATTTAGCTTTAACTCGTGACTGTGATGGATCATTCCGTCTCAAATCATCACATTTTGGGATAAATTTCTGCCAAACCGTCTCTGATTTGCCTGAAATATTTATAGGATAAAGTATTGAAATTTTGAGATTTTATATTTATAAATTAAATTCTTTCCAGAGATAAACATATAACGTATTTGTTCGCATATTAAAAGTTGAGGCTGCTTGAAGGACAATGTCTCAGGAACTATTTAACATCAAAACCTGAAACTTTTACTGTTATCTCTCATTACATTACTGATTCAGAATCTACAATCAATCACATTGAAACTTTTGGATTTCCAGCAATATTTAGGTTTTTGTGGAACAGCTTGTCATACGTGCTTATGAAAGTTTAACAAACAGAACTTTCTTTTATTTTTGTGGCCAAGCATTTCACATTAAAACGTTATTCTACATGTTTTATTGTGTATTATTGTGACATGCACCAATATATGGATCAGAAAACATCCCTGATCGACTTCTGCGTTGTCAAGTGTTTGTCTAATTTGAGCTCAAAGATGGGACTTTGAACGACATCTTAAATGATTTTTTTCATATTTTAACTCACCTATTACCAGAGATTGTTTTAGCTACGTGTCCAATATTGCACATTCTGAATTAATGCCATGATGATGATAAATAATAGTGAATATTTCAGGGTTTTGTCTTTAAAGGTTCCTGAGATGTTGTTCGTTTATGTGAAAAACCGTGCAGAAAGTGGGTCGACTTGGCATGTGAAAACATTTTATCTCTGGAAATATTTGATAAAATAAGCTAAACATTTCAAATACTACTTTAAATATCTGTAGTTTATGATTAAAAAAAGAAAAAAAATCCGAGAGGGTTGAGCAGAAGGCTCCTCATGCACATATGCACAAAGATCTTTTTAAAAAAAATCTTGTGGTGGGAAGTAAAACATCCCAATTATAATTAATTTGAAAACACAAACTCTTCATGTATCTTTAAGTCACTCTCTTCCTGTTTTCTTGTACTCACTTCGCCGGCTATCTCCTGAAAAATTGTCAGGAACTGCTGGTCCTCCTCGCTCTCTTCCCCCGCCGAGGCCGGAGCCGGCTGAAGGACACGGAGAAGATAAGAAAGGGAAAAATGTGAGAAACTTTTGCAGTCGTTTTGTGACGTTAGCTTCAGTTTTAATCTTTGATGTGACATGACGGTCTGTAAAAAAAACAGCTTCAGGCTCTGTTTCCTTGAATGAAACAGCTGCTGCAGTGGAGCTTTGAGAGATCATTTAAAAAGGAATCAACCAATTCAGCCGCAACTGGAAGGAAAACTAACACCGCCTTAATGTTTAACAGCAGCTCTGCAAACTGTAAAAACGTATAAAGACACTCACCACCGGATGGTCGGCCTCGATCCTGTTCTCTATCTCCCTGAGTGAAGACCAACAAACAGCAGTCACCATGGTGACAACATCATCTGGACCATAAGCCTGAGCATCTTACTTTTACTCATTACAGACAATTCTGTTATTTCACTTTGGACCAAATGGGGGGAAAAAAGCAGGAAATAGTCATCTAGAAGGACAGGAAACAGATTCTTTACACGGTTTCTAGAGGCTTACAGTCCCATCGTCACATTGCTGCTCACATCTTTACTCACTGTGGGCTCTGAAAATGACTCCACAAACTCCTAATGAAGCTGTGGATTAAAAAGCTGTTAGTTTAATACCACCTGCTGCTTCCTCCAGTCAACTGTTTCCTCTTGGTTTCTTTGATTTTGTGCCATCTTGATTGTAGAAGGTGTCATCTTCCTCTTCTTTATCTACATTTTGTTTTAACCCCCTGAACCCTATATATTTTCACTCACTGTAAAAATAAAGTTGAACAACTTTGATTATTTATTCTACAAAAATTGAAACCACCTGGAATCAACAACATTTTCCAAGAGCCTGTAGATTTTATTAATACTAGAAAAAAAAATTATATTAATATTTTTCTACTTCGAATTTGTTCCCATACTTGTCTTCTATCTGCTCTGTCTTTACACTGCCTGCAATTCAATATAAAAAAAAAGTCCCAGAATTTTTGTCATGTGACTGTTGGTCGCAGCTGAGTCACTGTTGTGCTGAAAAATGCAGATTTTTTTTGTTTTTTACAGAATCTCATTAAGGCAAATTATTTATTTCTGGCATTTAAAAAAAAAAATGACATAGGTAGAATAAAACATGTTTGATGACATGTCATGATTTTAGGCCTTGTTTTAGCGAGGTTTCACAAATAAATCTGTTTATTCTTTTGGTTTTTATAGTTCCTGGCTGTGACAATTTAAAACATTTTGGTAATCTAGTCAGTTTATTTGAAAAATCCCTAAATTTTTGTGACGTGATTGCTGATTACAACTGAGTCAATCACAGCTTTGCGGATGCAGCAAAAAACAGTTTTTGTATTTTACAGAGTCTGGTTAATGTAAGCTGCTTATTTTTGGCAATTTTATAAAAAGGGGACATGCAGAATAAAGCAATTTGGATTAAACACCAGTATTCTAACCTTAGATTTGGTTGTTTTACCCAATTCTTTATCACCAGAAGGTTGAAAGTCTGACCTTTTTTTCTGTTTTGGCTGTTTCTTGGTTGGATAAATAGTAAAATTTTGGTGTTTTTTTTTTTTTTTTTTTTTTAAAGAAAACCATTTAAGGGTTCAGAGGGTTAATTAGAGTGTGAGTTGGTATTACTATGGGATACTGCACACTTTTCTGAGTGATTAATGGTATTTCTATAGTTTAATCTATCATCTAGAGCCCATCGCAGGGAGCGGTTTGCTGTGCATCCCGCAGCCTGATTCAGAACCAGGTCCAGGTCCGTCAGGCTGGTTCTGTCGGGTCCTCCGGGACAGCAGGACGAGGAGTTGATGGCTGTTTGCTGAGGCTTGAGTAATGCAGTACTGAATACTGAGAAAGTTTACCGGATCGTGCCCGAATCTGTAGTCGCTTGTCCTAAAAAAGATTCCATAACAGCTTCGAACTGGGGCCGGTTTCTTCCAGCTCTACAAATCAAATCGCCGTTAAAATTGTTTGTTCTTGGTGGTTTGTGTCCCCCCACCCACCCACAACCCACCCACAACCCACCCACAACCAAGCAGTACGACAAAACCCCACAGATCACCACTTAGGCTGGTATTCTGGATGCTAATTACGTATCGCTAACTTGCATAAAGCAGGGCTGGGTATCTTGTTCTGCCGGGTTTCTGTTGCTATATTTGAAACACTTGAATGTACTTTTCTGCACGTTGAGTCCAGAAATGTTTAGTACGAACAAAGACTTGCAACACTGCTCCCTTTGAACCATCAGCATCTCAACTTGCTTTGCATCAACAAATTCCTGAAACGTGCTTGTACACATGTAATAAAGAGGAACTTAACAGTCGAATATTTGTGGAGCAAATATGCCCAAAATTCGCTGCCTCCTACATCTTTAATGCACTTTTCTTTGTCTTGCATGACAGTAAAATTCACATCTTCATGTGTGGGACAGTCGAAACACTCAAAGACGGTAAATTTGACTAGACCTGGACGTACACTCACCTGCCATTTTATCAGGTGAAATCTGTAAAATTGAAGGCCTTCGTGTCTAATTTTACAACATTTCTGCATTTTCAGTCTTTGTTGACATAGTGGACGCTGGATTACGTTGATGGGGTGGACGACATATTACGAACACAACCACTCACTCAATCAAGTTTGTACAAATTGACCTTCCTACTGTGGTATCTGCTGTTCTCATTCATGTGTGTGACGTGTCTAGGTAGGGGCCCTGGGCAAATGTTAAGGTGCTGCAGGGGAGTCTCTGTTTAGAAAAGTGTAGGTGCTGCTGGAGATTCTTTGTTTAAAGAATTGTGCTTTTCTGTGAAGAGACTTATCTCCTGTTATGGCCATGAAGCCTGTGTTCTGTCTTAGCTTTACATGAAACACCCCTATATAAGACAGTTTATTCTGAAAGGTGATTCTTTCTGGCTTCGAATCCTCTCACAGGCAAACCATGGTGTCTGAGATGTTGTACTCCTTTAAATAAACTTTTCCATATCAACACGACGGTATCAGCGGAGTATTTCTTCATCATCTTCACGTCATCGCTACACAATAAACAACACTACATAAGCAAACTGCATTCTCAGTTAGACTTTTAAGGCTAGTAACTTAGTTAACTGTGGTGGAAAAGGACGACCAGTTTGAAATTGTACGCTTGCATTTAGGAAAATATCACCCTTTACATGCTAGAAGCTTGGTTAAAATTAGGCACTAAAATGGTTAGGGTCAAGAAAAACGTCATGCTTCGGGTTCAAATACGATATTTCACTATATTTCGAGAGTCTCCTCCATTTCTCTGTATGGTACACAGCTGGCATGTATTAAACGACCTAAACTAGCGTCTGTTGTCACATTTTCACCATTTAAGTCAGGGGCTTCCAAAGTAGGGGTCGCAGAATGGACTTGTTGTGCTCCATGCATAGTGCCCACCCATCTCATTAGTTGTGATCAACACTGAAACATAGTTATTCCCAAAATGTAAATTTGCACAGCAACGATGTTCACATGTTCACTCAGCGCCACATGTTGTGGCTGTTACTTTGACTGAGATATTCTTCTGCTTACATGGAAATTAAAGTGTATAAGTCGGTACTTTGCACATGACAGCAACAATGTTCACTCATAAGTTAGATGGAGATTTTGACTGATGTTCTGATTTCATCCTATAGTAAATCCATCCATCCATCATCTATACACCGCTTAATCCTCACTAGGGTCATGGGGGGCTGGAGTCTATCCCAGCTGACTCATGGTGAAGGCAGGACACCCTGGACAGGTCACCAGTCTATCACAGGGCTACACTTAGAGACAGACAACCAAGCACACTCACATTCACACCTACGGACAATTTAGAATCACCAATCAACCTCAACATGTTTCTGGACTGTGTGGGAGGAAGCCGGAGAACCCGGAGAGAACCCACGCTGCACGGGGAGAACATGCAAACTCCACGCAGAAAGATTCCGGTGCCCCCATCGAGACGCGAACCGGCAACCTTCTTGCTGCGAGGCAACAGTGCTCCTATAGTAAACTGTTATATGTAGAATCATATCATGGTTGTCGGGCTGTTCTGTTCCTTTTTGCTGCCATTTTGCCCGTGTTTGAATACACCTATTAGTGCGCGCATCTGTGTGCATGTTTTGTTATGTTTCAGTCACCTCCGGGGATAGTGGGGGTCGCCAGTCTTAGGAACCGTTATTTGTGGGGTTGCGGGCTGAAAAGTTTGGGAAGCCCTGATTTAACTGTCAATATGGCCAAACAATTAAATAGTCTGTTAGCTAATTCTATTTTCCAACTTCCTGGCTCGCATAGTTTGGTCTCTCTGTAATCTGCTGCAAAAGAAAAAACCCAGACCGTAAAATCATAGAAGGAGGCGTTTTGCAAACACACGGGAGATCACGGAGGCTCTCATAGGAATGAATGGAGTTCTCGTTGTTTCGAAGCTTTCTGCATGATCCAAATCCTTGACAAAACTGGACATTTTTTAGTGCAGTTAGTTACAGCCTGGATGTTATTGTTGAACCAAAGTTGCCGAAAATGAGCAGTCGACTGCAGGCTGATACCCAGAGTCTACATTCGGCGAGTCAGGCCAGCTGCAGGTTTTAACAGTGTTGCGAATCTCTCGTTTTTTTTTCAAACTGAATCACAATTTAGTTCCTGAAGAAAAACCTCAACGTCAGAACCAATAGTATTCAGATATGAGCTCTATTTTAATACCCAGCCCTACTACGAAACACCGAATTAACATCAATGCAACAGAGTAAACAAACATCTATCGCTATCATTCTAGGGGGGAAACTACAACACTCCCAGCCCTCGTCGCCCCCTGCAGGCCACCCCCCTCATCGCCCTCACCCACTCACTCTGAGGTGTTCCTCTTTTCAGAGAAGACTCGCAGGATGAACTCGCCCTCCTGGTGGGGCTCGTAGGTGGAGGGGACGATGACGTACTCGCCGGGGCTCAGGCGGAAACGCTGCGTCACCTCGCGCAGGTTGATGTAGGACTTGCAGCGAGCCTTGGAGGAGTTCAAGAGGAAGAAGTCCTTCTGCATGTGCTGCTTGTTTCCGTGCATCTGCAGCGGAAAAGTCACGGCATCATTGGACGGAAACAGAAACTTCTACGCAAAATATCAGAGATGAATTCATTCACGGCTGTTGTTTAAAAATGGGTGAATTCTTCTGGATCTCCTGGTGTTTCTGGAGTGCTAGTGATAGTTTTTCTCTTTTGACCTTGCCTAAAGAAGATTTTCTCTTTAAACATAACTCATTATCATAACCCTCCAAAATGATTTCAGCATTAGTGTGTTTTGTAGCGACAAACTAACATCTCGTCTGTTCAGGATTTAAATGAATGCCTCTGCAGTAAATTAAAGCAAAACAGTGTATAAAAACAAGACTTCTGATTCATCTAAAAGCCAGACTTTTACAGAGAAATGTGTAGCTTTGGCTGATCAGTTTCACTCCAAGATTTATCAAGCCTAAAGTTTCCTGGCTCTCCCGATGTGTGGACATGAAATTAAACATTGTGGAGTGTAGTTAACTTGCAAACTGCTGCTCCTCATCCTTACCTCCTTCGGCACCTGCAGAGAAACAGAGGTGACATCAGTGTTTGTGTCTTTTCAGGATGCAATATGAAACACAAAAAGCTAATATATATAAGAAAGAATGTGAAAATAGTGATTTCAACTCTGAAGAAAAACCTGAAAGACTCATTTAATCCTAACTTGGTGCTGCAAGAAAAATGCAACAGGTGCTAAGACACCTTATAAATGGATCAACATAATAATAATTAAACTGCCTTGATGTGTTCAAAGCAGCCTGCGGAAATATTTTGTTCAGACACCGGATCCAACTGCATCACAGCATCTCTGAGTGCTCGGTAAGAACAGAACCGGACACCTCGTAGATGGCGAATCCGATGGTGAACAGATTGGCTCCCATCTTGCGCTCTTTCCGCCGGTTCTTCTGCATCAGCGCCACCACGAAGGTGCAGCCCACCTCGTTGTCCTCGGGGTCGTCGTCCTCCTCCAGCAGGCGGAGGCGGTACTGAGGGTTGGTCCAGAAGGTGTCTGCGCGACATTTGGTTAGTGTTTCAGCAGCCAAAATACACTGTTGGCCATGGAGTTGGAATAATTTTTGTTTTCAGACACATTCCTCTTTATTTCTATTCCTACTAGGGATGCACGATATATCGCCGACCACATCGGTATCGG